TGTTATCCAATATCTTTTTCTCAGCTTCACCAATCCACATCTTCGCTCCTATACATTGCTACATAATCTTTGTTTGTGGTAGTCTGGCTTCGCCACATGGACTGGGACTCTGACTACTTCCTGCTGGTATCAAGAAAGATAATGTAGCTCAGTGCTTTATTTTATCAGTTATTATAGACATTGTATAGCAAATACATGTAAGGAGGAAGGTTTTTGATTTTTCATAAATATCTTTAAAGAGTTAACCAAATAGAAATATCCAGTATTTCCAAGTTCGGTAGATTGTTAAATATAACTTTCTATTCAAGTGACAATGTCCATTGTAAAACTGTTGACAGGTATACTTTGTCTATGTTACATTACATAGTAAATTGTAAAGCAGGTTAAATGAATTGTCTTTTCTCAGCTTCTGACGTACAGACAAATGAATTCATTAAAAAGACAACCAAGCACCAAAACAACATTATGCGTGTTATGGCTTTTGGCTTAAATAGCTGTATTATTGTTAAGTGAACAAAAGGTGTATAGCTCAATTTGTGTCCCTCCCTTCCAATCAGTAGCATCCAAGAATACAGTTCAGGCACATGTACTCCAGATGATATAACCCTGTGTTCACACACATAATGTCACACATTGGTATAACACAAAATGTTTGCATTCACACACATCTATAAATACGTAGCAGTGTTTACAAATACAATTACACACCACAACTAAGTGCGGGAGTGGTAATTTCCTAGTTAGTGTCTATGTGACAGTGGCGTCCATGCCACCAAAACCCTGCATGCTATGAGTTTGGCCGGGGTGCTGTGATAGGTAGGATTCCCATGCTTTCCAGGCTAGTGTTACAAACAGTTTGGGGGGGAGGGGGAGGGGGAATTTTTCTGTGCCATATTTTCATTGCGCCTTGTTGTGTCCAATGTTTGGATACATTGCCTGACAGTTGGAGTGTTGTGTGAGTGCCATAGTCTGCTGATGACAGTCAGCACGGCTATCAATACATGGTATATTAGATATCTACTGGCCTTCGTGAGGTCATTCGGGAAGAGGTGCAGTAGAAAAACTTTGGGTTGCTTCGGTATTGCTATCCCTGAGCATTTGAGTATAAGCTGTTCGATATCTGACCAGAATGGCTCTATGCCTGGACATGTCCACCAAATGTGGTGCATTGTGCCCGTTGCTGACAGACAGCTCTAGCAATTTTCTGATACACCCAACTTAGCATGTATTAGTCATGTAGGCACCAGGTACCATCTATATAGTGTTTTCCTGGCCAGCTCTGTGTATGAGATACATAAAGAGAGTGGTTTATGAGCCCTTAAAATTTTGCACCACTGAGGGTCACTTAGCGAGCAGTTGAGGTCCTTTTCCCATGCTTGGACAAAGGTGAAGGTTTTGGGGTTTGTGAATTGAGAGTTTTGTGCATATATGATAGAGATCAATTTGGTGGGTGGTTTTAGGCAAAGACAGATTTTTTTCCAACATCCGTCAGCTGTACGCCATTTACCGAGTCAAACAACAGAATGGTTTGTTTATTGGACCAGGAGAGTAACTGTGTATGGGAAAATATAGCCGTGTTAGGTAGTCTATATTGTTTTTGCAGTTCGGGAAAATTCCTAAGTTAAGATCCTTGGAATAGGTGGTGGAGGTGTGTGATTCCATGCCTATGCCGGATTTTGTGGTTAATGCCCAGAAATTTCAGATAGTCTGTTTGCTATTCGTATGCGAATGTACCGCGCAAGTAGGCTAGCGTGTATGTTGGGATATTTATGCCCATGGCTTGTGTTTTTGAAAGATTCAGTTTATAATAGGAACATTTGCTGTATTGTAGGAGGATATTGTGGAAGTTCAGGAGGGACATGTTAGGTTGTTCAAGTGTCAGTAGGATATCATCCACAAATAACGATATTTTGTACTCTCTATTCTTAGCCTTAATTCCATGAATGTCGGGATTGTCTCTAATTAACTGGATCAGGGGCTCCAGTGCCAGTATGTAGAGGATGGGTGAAGGTGGGCAGCCCTGTCTAGAGCCATTTGTAATTGTAAAGTGCTGGGACATAAAGCCCCCATTGGTTACCTGTGCCGATGGGTTGGAGTATAATGCATTCACCAGAGAGATGAACTGGGAGGGAAAACCAAATTTCCACGAGGAGGAAGGGCCGGTGCAGCCATTCAAAGGCTTTTTCTGCATCAAGTGAAAGGAATACACTGGCTATCCATTCCTCCCACCCCCCTGCAGCCCACTCAGTAGGTCTAAGACTTTCCTGGTTCCGTCTTCCCCCTGGCACCCGCTTACGAACCCCACCTGGTCTGCGTCAGTAATCGGGCAAATAATTTGGGCTAATCTGTTGGATTACATTTTTCGGGGCAAGAATGCGAGAGAAGGTTTTATAATATAAATTAGGCCGTCCGACCCTGGTGATTTACCCAGTGGCAGGGCTGCTATGGTCTGTGCAATTTCCTGGGATGTAACAGGACTTTGTAGTATCTCCTGTTGTTGAGGAGTTAGTCTTGGAAGTGAAATAAGGTCTAGGAACCCCTTCGGTTTCTGAAGTGGTCAGTTGGTAGGTGTTACTGTTATTTTAAGGTTGTATATGGGTGTGGTAAAATTTGGCCATTTCATCATTAATATCTTGGGGTTATAAAGGTTTTTGTTAGTGTTCGTTATTAAGTATGGGATTTTTGATTGGGTTTGTTTCTTTCTCAACATTGTTGCCAGCGTTTTCCCCGCTTTATTTCCCTGGGAGTAGTTGGTCATTTTTAGGCATTGGAGTGTTTGGGCTGTTTTGACTAAATGTAATGAGTTTATTTGCTTAGTGGTGTCGGATATTAAATGTAAATAGTCGTCTGCTGGCTGTATGGTGTGAGCGTCCGTCGCATCCCGTGCGCAGGAGACTTAGGTAATCAGTCTGGGTTTTGCGTTTTAAGAACGAGGCTCTGCTGATCAACAAGCCTCTGATGGTGGGTTTACGGGTCTGCCAGAGAGAGAGTGAGGAAATGTCTTGAAGGAAATTCATGTGAAGTAGGGTTCTAGCGCTGTTGTTAACTGTGTGAAAAAGTTGTCGTCTTGTAAAAGAGATTCATTTAGTCGCCACAGTGTCTTGCCTCTGTGGGTGAATGCGGTTTCAAGGGTTAAAATTATTGGTACGTGGTCCGACCACACTATGTGACCTATTGTGATCTGAATGAGAAGGTGGCTAGGCACCATGATATGATCTATCGGTAGAGGTTTCTGTGTACACTGGAATAGTAGGAAAATTATTTTTCCTGTGGGTTCAATGTTCTCCAGGCGTCATAAATGCCAAATTCTGTCATGAGTTTAAGTAAGGCTTTGTATCTTTATTGCTAAGTGTCTTGGTGAGGACTCCGGTAATGTGGTATCCATGTGGGAGTCAAGGATGTGATTCAGGTCCCCGCACAGGATCAGTGAGCTGGAGGGGGCAGGTGGAATTTTGTTGAGGAGCTTGTGGAGGAAATTCCACTGATTGCCTTTGGGACCATAATACACCACCAGGGTGTATTCGGCCTCATTGATCATGCAGTGTAATATGAAGAATCTGCCCTGGGCATCTCTTTGAATTTGTGAGAGCTCAAACAATAGGGATTGATAAATAAGGAAGGAAACACCTCTGGTTTTGGAAGAGTGTGTGGCGTGGTATTGGGTTGGGTACTCCTTTAAACTAAATTTGGGAATTTTGTTTGTTGCAAAGTGTGCCTCCTGGACAAATATCTATTGTGTCTCTTTTTGCTTCCTCTAAGAGGATGCACCTTTTGTGAGGGTGGTTTAATCCCCTCGTGTTGTGTGATAATATTTTTATAGCCATCGGGAGGTTGGTAAGATCTTAGTGATGGTGCTTTGAGACATAGCATTGGAGTCGGCAGGCGATTTAGCATACGTGCTGGTGGTAGGCACTTTGCCGGTGTTGAGGCAGAGCATGTCAAGTTGGAGGGATTGGGTGGTGGAAATCCGGTGGGGGGGGGGGGTAAAACCTTGAAGAGATTGAACTGAAAGTTCCCCAAAGGGGAGTTGGTGCGGACAGTCTACACCATGGAGGTGGGAGAAGAAAACATACTCGTACAAAAGTAGTGGCTGTAGAACCCCAGAGGATGCTTGTCTCTTAAGCTGCTGCATTATGGAATGCCTATAACATGAAGGCTGCGAAATGGTTGTGTGCTGGGTGAAGGGTAACAAAAACCTAAATATAACATATTCAATAAGAACAGTGGGGGAAAAAGAGTGTGTAATAACATGCCTGCAGTATCCCTGTTTGGATCAGTGAGTTCCAGAGACACTATTACGGCCCGGCCTAGTGTAATAGGTTTCCTAGTGCACCTCAGTACCAGCGTTGTAAGCGAGGTCTAACTTAACCCCCCTGCCCCTTCCCCTCTCCCTTTTTTCGTGTTCTCTAGTTTTCAGTGTCATAATCTAGCAATGGAACCGTGCGCAAGCCCCTGCCACAATCAGGATGGCTTCTGTGTAGCAAGCTTGATGGATGCAGGTGTGTGTACCAAGATCCCCAGCTCCATGTTCAGATTGAGCATTCAATACAACATAAACTTGGCATGAACATATGTATAACATAACAGACAACCTCATCCATTGCCCATAGAGAATTGCTCGTGGCAGGAGAGCAGCTGTGACATATAAATCTTAGTGGTAGACATTATATTTAAACTATGTGGCGAAGGGACCAGTGCTTAGGTGGGAGGGAGGAAACTTAGTGACAAACGTCCATGTCATGGTGAGAATTGAACTTTAAGGTGCCAGCCTAAAGAAGATAAAGCAATATTTGTTTGAGGGCCAAACTGTAGCAGGATACTTGCAACTTCTACTACGTCCATGGATTTTTCAGTTTACGGATGACCTTTCGCCATTCCAGGTCTACCCTCAGATGCTGAGCGGGAGTTGTCTTGGGTCGCGGGCAGGTATTTTGGTTTTGGGACACGGTGCACTCGATCAAGTAGCAGCATGTCGGCTGGTACATCCAGAGCATAGGCCTTCAGGAATCCTCTTGCGTAGGCCTGTAAATCGTCCTGCAGGACAGACTCTGGTACACCCCAAAGTCTAAGGTTATTTCTGTGGCTTCTGTCTTCAGAGTCCGCCATCTTAGCTTCCAGAAGCCCAACCTTGCTTTCCAAAGCCATGTTGTTGTTGGCAGAAGCATATTCGATAATTTTTTGTTCCACATGTGCTGTGCAGGTGTCCAGTTCTTGCACGTCCTTTCGGAGAGCATCCGCAGTAAGTTGCTTGTCAGCTTGTTTGTCAGTGCGTCCAGGGCTTGTGTCAGGAAATCTTTGATAATTTTGTCAGATGTGGATAGAATTGGCTGTTCTGCTGTTGGCGTCAGAGCACTCGAATCTGAGTCTCCATCTCCATCACCATCACCATCCTGTGGGCTCGACATCGGGCCTAAAGGTGCCGCAGGAGTCTTATGTCCGAAGAAATTAATCTTCTCTGCCTTTGTTGCCGCTTTTTTGGCATTGTAGTGAGACATATTCGCGTCAGTGCTCGGGTAGGTCTTTTGCAGCTCAGCTTTTGCATTTTTGCAGTTTTTTGTGTGAGTTTTTAGGGAGCTCAATACCAGAGCAAAGTTCTATGCGGCCATGTTGCTCGGCGGTCAGCCATGCCCCCCCACATAAAATTATTTCATAATTATAATAATAAAAATAATAACGCTTAAATTACTAAAAACAACACGTGACCAATAATTTTCACTGCTTAATGACAAAAGAAAAATGCGTCATTGAGTTAAAACACTGTAAGGTGATAAAAAAAACAAAGATAGTTATATTTACTGAAAATGACAGAATTAAATCATGTAGCAGAAAATCTTTAACATATATTTTATGAATTGACATTTTTATATCTTGTTTCTATGTTATTGAGGCCAAGTTCAAGGAGAGTGTGCAAGCCTAATTTCTTTTATCACCTCCCACATTGAAAAGTGAATACATTTCTTTATATTGTAATGCCCTCTATATTATGACAAACATCGCGCATGTCAAGCCATAAATTTGAGGTAAGCCCATTTCTGCGACAAAGAATAGCCATTAGACAGTCAAACGACACGCCGATGAAATTCATTTCTATTAGAAGTTATATTGTAATTTCATTCAGAACCGTATAACAAGGCTGTGGATATGGAGAAGTTAATTTATAGTGTTTCATTACGTATTAATATTTATGGCTTTATAAACATATCTTTCTATCTATTCCAAAGAAATATGGAACAAATGTACAGTTTGCCCTTCTCTAATACCACCTGATTCAATACACAGTCATTCATTTCAAATATAATGTGTTTGTTATTTGACTTTATTGTTTGTGATTTTTACCGTAACTTGGGATATTAATCCCGACGCACATTGTATTTTTTTTTGGTCTAGTAAATCTCTTAATAGAACAGTAAGTTGAAAACCCAGAAGCAGATATTACTTCATTAAACTAGTTAAAGAAGATCAGGTCGACCTAGTTTTATAAAAATAAGACAACATTATGTCACACGTGTTTTGTTAAAACTATTTGTCTTGGTTTATCTATGCTTTATCGATGCGTAATATGTTGGCGCTTTATAGTTTCTTGTAATTGTAATTACGTAAGGTCGAACTTACTGTAAAAGGTAAGAGGCCAGAACACAATATCCAACTGACATCATGACTAGTAAAGTCTATTCATTGGTCAATGACTTCAAGCCAGAAATATGTATAAAGAACAATTCGGGGGACAAATTTCAATATTTAATCATATTATTGGTTTCCATGGTGATTGATCCAATTTTAGATATTTACTCTAATACTGATCTTTATAAATAATGTCTAAAGACTTTAATGTCATCTTGACGCCATTTCATATTTACTTGACAGTGATGTTGTTTTCGGAGGCTATAATGGACAGTTCTTTTGGAGCAAACACTACACCCAGTGTCACTAGCAGAGTTATTTAATAAAGTGAGGATTTGCTGTGAACTCAAAGTGAATTTCAGTTTTAAGCCCAGAAAAAAACAAAACAAAATGATAAAATAAGAACAAAAATGATAAAACTTGTGCGCATGCTGTGGAGAGAAGGATTTAGTGGGCAGGTGCCTGTAGAATGGCCATCTATCCCTATAAACTACTGCGCCTCTATAACAGATCCCCCATACTCCATCTGAGTATATCCGCTGTAGTTATCCCAAGTCCCAAGTGAAGCAGTGATTATAGCTCTGGTATACCCAGACATCAGCCTAGACTTGATGAAGGGTAGAAGAAGACTGACTTTATTATGGCCAGATGGCCCACTTTTATACACAGCAAGGACACAGTAAAACACGTCCAGAACACTCCCACAACATACCCATGAATTTCTGAGTCAGAATGACTCAGCATAAAGACATAACATACATGTCACGAGCGTGGGCTATAGGCCCAGCCGAGACAGTGGGGAGAGTGTGGAAGTGACAGGGTTAATGACACCAGACCCCTGGTTACCTGTTGCTTGTCCCATCAACCACTCAATTAACCCCTGCAATCCCTTCTACACTAACCCCTTAGTACACACTTTACTGCCACCACCAAGACTTTAAACCCGGGCGTCTTAGGTTACCCCACACACAGGAGAATTATAGAATTACAGTTTTACTTTTACTGGTCAACACACATATAATTAACGCTTTTTGGTAACGTGTTTACCTGAGCTTTCCTCTGGAGAGTGAACATTTAATCTGACAAAAAGGATTCACAGTGCGGAGTACAAAATACAGAAATAAATGACATACAGAGAACAAATTGCAAAACAGTACATAAAATAAAATAGGAGAAAAACAAGAAATTCCTTACATGTATTTACCCCATATAGAATTCTTGTGGGAGTCTTAGATGGTATAGGTCTCCTAGAAGTTGCTGACCAAGGAAAAAAATGAATAACTCCCTGGATAGTCCAACACCCTCATTAATATATCTAAACTAGTTGTTGCTCAGTGGGCAGACCACAATAAATGTCATCCCAAGGTTTTAAAAAAAACTCTTAACATATCTCAACACACATAAAACACCAACTCATGCTTTTGGCATGACAATACCTAAACTATTAAAATACATATAAGACATATAGGAACCCCCACTAACACAACTGAATTGCCACCGACCGCAACCAAATCAGGCATCTGACCAAATCAGTTCCAGAGATTCAGTGGTAGCGGTCGGTCACTTTTGGGAGTTCCATACGAACAAGCTGTCGAACGGTTCCCCTGGCTCATAGGTAGCGTTTGTTCACATTGTTCATGAGAACAAACCTAACGAACAGTGCTCTCCTGGCTTGTCGCGGAAAGAAGCAGGCGTTCCTATGATTTTAACTGTGTTAGCGAGGTCAAGTGTCCGACTTAGAGTTCCAGACATTCGACAACCAATTCCCACTGTCTGCGTTCGTGTGACGAGATGGTCGCCATTTTCTCCAGCACGTGGCGTTCGGTTATACGAATGGTAGCCACACAGAGATAGCACTTAAATCTGTGGTTTCTTTGTAGTTAATGAGCCAGGGGGTGTGATTGGTGTTCAGTAGATTTATCTACTGAACGCAGGGAAAGTGTTTCTGTTTGGGAAACTATAAAAACAAACCAGGATGAAACTGTCTGGAGAACAGGAAGAAAAACAGTGATTTGGCAGTATGAATATGGCCCATAGCCGGTGGGCAGGAAGCTAGCTCCCACACTCCTCCAGGAGTTCGTGGCAAACGTCCAGAGTAAGGAGCGTTTGTCACAACCTCATTCTGGCAAGTCTTGACCTTGAATCCATAAATTTTCTGTCACTATTAAATAATCACCTCCAACTGTTTGTTGTGCCATTGAAGTGTTGTTGAAATTGCTAAAGAAAAAAAAAGGTTCTGTCTTGAGCCATGGCCAATATTTTACTAATTGCCAGCAAGGCATATAATTTGAGCTTTGTCATTAATTAGCTAAACTCAATTTTCATTTGTAACTTGTCCTGCAAGCTGACACACCATTCGAGAAGTAAACGACAAAGACGCATTATTTACACAGAAATATGCAATGTTAGCGCTGCGGCAGACAACCATTAATCACCTATTCAGAAGCGAGTGATTTTATGTCGATGGGGCCTCTGTCTGCCACGACCATCTTTCTAATTAATACCTGCACGTCAGAGTGACTGAGTGGGCTAAGAAGTGTATTACAAAATATCAATCTAGTAAGTATATTGATTGCAAATCCAAAATATATTCCGTGGGCCACAGTATCTACATGGCCTCATTTAAAACAGCTTTCTTTATTTTCATTTCTTTCATTTATACAAATCTTCAGCTCTCAGAGAAACAATAATACACTACAAGCACATAATTATTAAAACATTAAAAAGACATATTCAGGACTCATATTTATAAGTAGTATATTTTAGTGGCTATTTGATCAAAGGGTTTCTATTTATCTGCTTGTCTGTCTGTCTGCCTATTTATCTGTCTGCCTGTCTATGTCTATTTGGTGTGTCTATGTTTGTTTGTCTTTCTCAAAACATTAATATACAAAGTCAACATGAACTATTGAGGCATAAATTAAATAATTCAGGTAAAAACTGCCAGTTAATGAAGACGAGGCAGACACAAGGAACTGCACTACAAGGTAGTTCTAACTGCAAGGTGGTTCAACGGAGGAGCATGAATCGTGATATGCGAAATTGCAATATTTGTCACCTATGGAACTGCACTCCAAGGTGGTTCAACCCAGGAGCATGAATTGCGATATGTGTCACCTATAGAGATAGTCACTAGTTGTCCAGTAGTAAATTAGATGCAGAGAATTGTTTTCCCTATAAGTCAAACTGATAACTCGAGTGTTACTGTCATACCATAGTGGTAGCTCTGTCCACTTTAGATAATGTCCTTTCGACCTCAGGTGACTTCCACCCACTTTTTAGATAAATTCTTTTTTGTTTACTTATGCCATTGTAGCAATGCCTTACCCACATTTAAAGAAAAGCACAGGCAGTTTTAGTCTTTTAGACTTTTTCTCTGGAGGATCGTAGGATGAATACGTAATAGAAAAACCTGACAGAATATTCATAAAGATACATAATAAGGAGCTGCTATTTGCTCATAGAGAGTGTCAGTCCTTCTTAAAATGCCATCATGCAAGTTCTGGACTGGTTTCTGCGGGATAATAGGCGCAATTCTTCAAGATGAAAGGCTTCCAGTTCTGAGTGATGAAACAGATGTAAATCTGCACTATGCACTCCGGAACATCGGATAAAAGAATCAATGACGCTTACATGAAAGCATGGAAGATAAACAATAGATAACCACTGCTTACCTTACAGGACAAATGAGAAAAAGATACAGTTGCTGAGAGAGAGGACATGATGGAGTAGAAAATGTCGCGACAAGGAGGTAGGCCACAGAAGAAGAAACTTAACTGGTTAAGAATGAAAATATTTTAACATAACATTTTGAATTTTTATTTTATCTGTTGTTGTCTATGGCAGAATAAACCACTAGATACATTATATTCTCAACAAATGTAAAGGGGACTCATCGCGTCTCCAAACAATCCCAGACAAAGAGACATTGATTTGTAATACATACTTCAACGAAAGATGTGGCAAACTGCAGGTGAAAGATTATTTGTCCCAGAAGCCTAATCCCCGAGCCACCCGGGTGGTGTGACTCTTGAGTTGTATTTCGAGCAAGAGGTGATTGGCTCGCTTTACTTATTAATACAAGGCAGAAAACCAAGACTATAAATTTCACTCACAGACATCGGAGACAGCTGCTGATTCAGTGTAAAGACATCAAAGAAAATTGGATAAGGGAAAAAGGTTCTTTATGTTTAATAAGCTTCTTTTCCTTTAAGTAATTTTGTCTCGTTGCCCTTAGGGATGTCCAGCTCCAGTTAGAAGCTGATGTTGAATGCTTTTTTTTTTTGTAGCAGCATGATTTGAGTTGTACCATTTTGCGAGAAGTATCAAAATGAAGATAAAAGACTTGCCTGTACTTTAATCACATTGTCTCCTAAAATAGCTGTCTTTATTTATCTCTCTGTGGTAGCACCTTTTATTTTAGCTTTAGACTTTAAGCAACGATAAATCATAATATTCGGGTAAGTCAGCAACAATTCTGAATTACACTGTATCGCAGGATGAAATCTTCTTATTTGGGAGAGCAAACGCCATTCCGATATGATAGACTTGGCAATGATAAAAAGAGCCGATCGGTATTCTGCCAAACAAACCTATTCAAAATAGTTTGATAATAAACATGAATCAGAAATTTGTGTTTATATAATATCACCAAACACGATCAATATAAGAGTGCAGGGTAGAAAGCAACATAAGTTAATTAGGGACTTACACTTGAATAGATTCAGAAGACTCCACTAGCCTGTCTCACACTTCGTACTAATGGGAGATGTAGGCATCTCATGCGTAACTGGCAGAAGTCATGAAATACACCTCGCACAGAGATATGTCAGCTTGTTAGATGCGAATTGGCAAGATCAAAAGGAAACAGTCAATCAAATGCAGCAAACGTACACTTGAACTCGACCAACCAAATCACACTAAGGCACTAAGCAACTTCTAAAATGCAGTATGAAAATGCCATGTCAAACTATAATAAATTGACTGTGCTCATATGTTCTTCAGATTAAAGGGTGACTCTAAGCACCAAAACCACTTCATCTTAATAAAATTATTTTGGTGCAAAAACTATGCCCTTTTTCAGACAACGTAAAGCATTCTGAGAAAGACTGACAGCCGCTAGAGGCTCTTCCTCCTTAATATAAAAAAAAAATCACATTCACATTTGCGCTATCACACTCCCATCCTGAGCTTCACCGGACATTGCCACACACGCATCCTGTGCTTCACCGGATATTGCCACACACGCATCCTGTGCTTCACCGGACATTGCCACACACGCATCCTGTGCTTCACCGGATATTGCCACACACGCGTCCTGAGCTTCACCGGACATTGCCACACACGCATCCTGTGCTTCACCGGATATTGCCACACACGCATCCTGTGCTTCACCGGACATTGCCCCACACGGGTCCTGAGCTTCACTGGACATTGCCACACACGCATCCTGTGCTTCACCGGATATTGCCACACACGCATCCTGTGCTTCACCGGACATTGCCACACACGCATCCTGTGCTTCACCGGACATTGCCACACACGCATCCTGTGCTTCACCGGACATTGCCACACACGCATCCTGTGCTTCACCGGATATTGCCACACACGCATCCTGTGCTTCACCGGACATTGCCACACACGGGTCCTGAGCTTTACCGGACATTGCCACACACGCATCCTGTGCTTTACTGGACATTGCCACATTGGATACACGTGATCACATTTAAAAGAGGCGCAGTGGATGAGATTAGAGTAGCACGTTCTTACATGAATGCAAAAGTAGCAACTGTATGAACAAATTAGTCCATTTTCTTGGTGTACAGAGTGTCAGCAGTATCCCTTTAAGAACAGAAACAGATTTCTGCAGCAACTAATTAGTGTACAGAGCACAAATACACACAAACACAGCACATAATACAATTAGTGTACAGAGCACAAATACACACAAAAACAACAAACAATACAATAAGTGTACAGTGCACAAATACCCACAAAAACTACAAACAATCCAATTAGTTTACAGTGCACAAATACACACAAAAACAACAAACAATACAATTATTGTACAAAGCACAAATACACACAAAAACAACAAACAATACAATTAGTGTACAGAGAACAAATACACACACAAACAACAAATAATACAATTAATGTACAGAGCACAAATACACACAAACACAACACATAATACAATTAGTGTACAGAGCACAAATACACACAAACACAACACATGATACAATTAGTGTACAGAGCACGAACACACACAAACACAGCACATAATACAATTAGTTTACAGAGCACAAACACAAAAACAGCACATAATACAATTAGTGTAAAGTGCACAGATGCACACAAAAACAGCAATTAGTGTACAGTGCACAAATACGCACAAATACACACAAAAACAGCACATAATACAATTAGTGTACAGAGCACAAATACGCACAAGTACACACAAAAACAGCACATAATACAATTAGTGTACAGAGCACAAATACGCACAAATAAACACAAAAACAGCACATAATACAATTAGTGCACAGTGCACAAATACACACAAACACAGCACATAAGACAGTGTACAGTGCACAAAAACACACAAAAACAGCACATAATACAATTAGTGTACAGAGCACAAATACAAACAAACAGCACATAATACAATTAGTGTACAGTGCACAAACACACAACCAACAGCACATAATACAAGTAGTGTACAGTGCACAAATACACACAAAAGCAGCACATTATACAATTAGTGTACAGTGCACAAATACACACAAAAACAGCACATAATACAATTAGTGCACAGAGCACAAATACACACAAAAACAGCTCATAATACAATTAGAGTACAGAGCACAAATACACATACAAACTGCACATAATCCAATTAGTGTACAGAGCAAAAATACACACAAAACAGCACATAATACAATTGTGTACAGAGCACAAATACGCACAAAAACAACACATGATTCAATTAGTGTACAGAGCACAAATACACACAAAAGCAGCTCATAATACAATTAGTGTGCAGAGCACAAACACATAAGGTGTGTGTTTACTTAGTGTTAGTTTGTGGAGAGTCTCCTTACTTCACTCACATATGGAGAGAGAAAACTAAAAAACCACTGGCGTGTGTGTGAACCATCAAATAGAAGTGAATTAGAAGTAACCTAGAACTGATAATAAGAGAGCAGAATTAGTGCTGCTGTTACTTTAAGGTGAAATTCAAATGCAATCATAACATATCACAAGTCAAAGCAGGGACTACTATGTTATATACGCAAAACCTAAATTGACGAAAACTGACAAAATGCAGTTTCCGCAATTGGCCAACACTAACAGTTATGGAATATGAGAGTGATCTAATCCGGATAGAAAAATCTAAATGCCCATCAAGATACGGGAGTCAAGCATGGCACAAGATTTCGCATTCTCTGTGGATTTCACCAAGAGGACTACGGATACACTAACGAGAAGATGGAATGTCTGCAAAGAACAAGCTAAGTCAGCCTACACATGATGAAAGCCACTGGAGGAGGACTATCATCCCATATTATCTTCAACACCTGTGAGCAGATTGTTGGAAGGAAGTTCTGCATGAAAGCTATAGAAGTGCTTTCTGGTCTCACCGACTACACAGATGCTAGCACAATCACCGCAACTGGCAAATTCAATTAAAAAGAATAATTATTTCTGAAACATATTCAGAATAGGTTTTTCCTCTCTTGAAGGTATCCCTCTCCCTTTAAGGTATCTTCATAGTTTAAATGTAGTTCTCGTACATACTATTGTATTGGTGTAGGAGTAAGAACTATATAGCACAATATAATTCAAGTTCAGATATACACTACATGACTAGTGTAGAGAATAGAGAGGTCATTGAAGAAGTCAGCAGTCTGAGTTTGCAGCAACCACAAGCACTTCCGTAGTAATCACTTCATCAAACTATATAGATTTAGCATTACAAAGAACCCATAGCCCAAAAGACTATAGTCACTGTCAGAGACTATCTCTCCCTTCAAGCCCTGCTCAGCTATGTGTATTCCAGCCAGCAGCCTCTTGCCTGCTCCAGAGAGTCGGAGTAAGCTAACACCACCAGCAGAAGTTATCTGTGTTAGCTCTGAAACTCCGGCTATGATACACTCAGCACCTCGACTCGATCATATTGTCCCCTGGTTTTAAACCCATTCCCAATGGACTAAGAGTGCGCCATCCATCAGGGTGACCAATTGCACCCTATGAGTAGAATGGAGCTCCCCTGCCTCAAGCAGCTAGAGCTCCCGTTAAAAGACCAGTATGCAGTGTGACCGATCCATCTGTATAGACTAAGATTGCTGGTTCGTCTGTTTTGCCTCTTTTCGTGGAATTACCTGTCCGTATGCCCCTGTTCGTTTATTTGACGTTTTACCGAATTAACTTACCGAACGGACGGCCACCCAGAAGAGAAGTGTGCTGCTGATTAACCTCTTGATCCCAATTAGAACGTTGTGGTTAACCGCAGACACCTCTCAATTATAACCGAATGTAGGGTGGTCGTCGTTCGTATGTCGACCACGAGGCGGCGGCCATTTTAAACCATGCGAAAGACCAGCGGTGTTCGGCACAGATTCTATGGAACTAAAAACGGACACATTTTCTGCCGAACACCGCTAAAACCACAGACCGCCCTTCTCAGTAGACAAAAGCATGCGAACACCGGCCGTTCGGGAGTTTGGACTACACGAATGGACTTAACCCAGATAGCCTTCCCATGGAGTCAATCGCATACCGAAAGACTGTAAAAGACTTTGACTCCATGGCGATTGAACTGTACGTATGGGATCTGAGCGCTATTCGCTAAGAATATGCACTCAGATCCAGGCTATCTGGGGATACTTGCACGAATGGAGTATATTCGGTAGTTGTATAATTATGTATTTTTATGTGGTTTTTATGTTTCATCTAAAATGGCGATTTGCCTCTGTCCTGGGAGATAATTGAATTACTTCCCAATTATCTCCAGGGCAGAGGGGAGGAAACCATGATGCATGCTGGGAATATTATGTGCCTGTGTGTCCTAACATGCTATATGTCTGTCTGCCATTACAGTCTCCCATTTGGTCCCCTAGGGGAGTGTCCACCAAATGGGAGACCTGCATAAATACGGGCGGGTAGCCCACAGTAAACCCAGTTCTTGTTTTACCCTCAATGCGGAGCTTGGTCTCGTTATTGGGGGGATTTACTACACACGAATAGCGACTGATTGTTGGAACCGTAAGCCGCTTGGATGATATATTGATTTGGCTGTTAGCAGCGATTCGTGGGTTTAACGCTCGAGAGCTGGAGTATCCGTACAGGTCCCGTTCGGGAGGTTAGCGCATTCCCCTGCTTGCAGTTCGTACGAGTGGAGTCTATACGAATGGAGTTTACAGTACTGCGAGCAAGGAGGAAAAACGAAACGGCGGTTTGACTATTTGATGCCGAGGGTGCCGTTACATGCGGCACCAGCCACATGGAACTATTTTCGCCCAGAGATGGTGGCGTTTGGACAATACCCCCATGGATCCGAACGCTTACACAGAATGGGCATTTGGGTCAGACCTATCTCTAGATATATAATATGAGGCGGCACAATGTTGTTTTATGAATGTTACGGGGTTATTATGTGTTGCGCTCTGTATCTGGGAGATAATTAGTTTAACCGAGAGCTGATTAAATAATCTCCCAGACACAGAGGTGCCCGGGCAGGCTTACTGTATGTTGAATGGAGACCCAATACTGTGTGTCTGTGTTTATAAACCTGTGTCCTTTTCCAATAAAACCAGTTGTTTTCCCTTCATCAAGTTTTAACTGATGTTTGGGTAAGCAAGAACTATATTCACTATTCGCCTTGCCGGATTTGAGAGAGGCCTACAACGGGGGTACCACTCTGGGTACCGGAGCTCCGTTCCAAGCATGGTGGAATCCTAGTATACGGCACAGCTCACAGCCACTTATTGCACTGTGTCAGCACAGTCTACAAGTATTTTGAACTAACAATGAGGAAGTGAACTTAGTTTAGGCAAAGACAGACTATTGTTAAAGGATTACTCCAACCACTATGACTAATTCAGCTTTTGGAAGTGAAGCTGTGCAGTGTTTTTGCTTAAAACGTTGAGCATACAGAGAAATTTGCTCTATGGTGCCAGGAGCTACTATGTGACTACGCAGCCTGTAATTCTTCTCCCTGCTGCCTGATGTCAATTCTGTGCAAAAATTAAATAGCAGTGTTTCTTTAATTTAAAATCCTTTAACAAATCGTGGTTCATTTTATTTCTTACCTGTTCTGTGTTAAATGTATAAATTTGTATTTTAATATTATTTTGTATATTAAAATATTGTTTTTTACCCTAATGTAAAAATGCAATGTTTGTGGGCCCGGGACATGCCTGAAAATGAAAAAAATCTCAATATATCCTTCCTGGTAAAATATTTTATAAATAAATCAATAAATAAAGTTTAAAATCCTGAGAAATGGCAATTTCCCTATAATTTAAATTTTATTTATATTCTATTTGATCTTGGAGAACATGGTTTGTAATTCTCCCGCTTTTCTTTTCTTTAAATACATGAAAATTAATATAATGAATCACTACTTAAATTCTATTAAGCTAGATATGTTAGATATTCTCATTATTCCTTGTGTTGTCTAGTGCGTTAATTATT